TCTTTCCTTTCCATTTTTCCTTCTATATAAGGGAGGGCTGGTCAAGGACTAGATCTTATTTGGTATGCTGAGAACGGCTTAATGCTTTTATATTGGTAAAAGCCTAGTATAAAATTCAATCCTTTGTTATTATACTTAAACTTTCCTGAAAGCTAGAGCTCAACAAATTATTGAGTATGTTATTATGAACACTGGGGGCCTTTGAGGCTGGATAGCACTGTAGAGTAGCTCACTTAAACTTTCCTTAGAATATCAGACTCGGAGGCTTCTGGTCAAGATGGTGGAATAAATCAATGTATTCATATCCTTCCACAAACCACATCAAAATTGCATTTAAGCTGCAGAACCACCATCATTCAGAAACACCTGAGATCTGGCTGAACAGGTCTTATAACTAAGGATATAAAGAAGAAGCCATATGGAGACTGGTGTGAGGGGTGGAGATGCTGAATGGGCTGGTCCCGCACTCTTGTGGTAGTTACACATGGGGAGAGATGTCTTAGCTGCAGAAGACCCACCTGTGAGACTGGTGTGAGGGGTGGAGATGCTGAATGGGCTGGTCCCGCACTCCTGTGGTAGTTACACATGGGGAGAGATGTCTTAGCTGCAGAGGACCCACCTGTGAGACTGGTGTGAGGGGTGGAGATGCTGAATGGGCTGGTCCCGCACTCCTGTGGTAGTTACACATGGGGAGAGATGTCTTAGCTGCAGAGGACCCATCTGTGAAGCTAGGGGTCTCAGAACCACATCAGGTACCCCAGCCTAAGGTACCAGTGCTGGGAAGAGAAGTCCCCATAAATTCTGGTTGTGAAAACCATTGTGGATTGTGGCCGAGTAAGAAGGAAGGCTTCTGGAGACTCTCAGAGAGCCTGCTCACTGACTGACTTGGACTCACTCACTCTGAACTCCACCTTGAAAGGCACCAGGAACATAAGAGGAGAAACTATAGTCCACCAAGCGCTGAAGGAGTAGCTTTCTCCCAGACAGAAGTGAGGTAAGAAGCCATTGTACCTGTGCTGAGCTTTTCTCCCACAAATCCCAAAGGTGGGTAGTATATCTGTCTCCGTCAACCTGGCTAACACTATGTCCTACCCTGATCCTCACCCTACCCAAATCGAGGGATTGCCCAATCCCCTTCCAGTGGGTTTTAAATACAAGTGTCCTGTCTTGGCTTATGCTGTGGACTTTCTAAAAATTTCTCAAAGGTTCTCAAACACCAAACAAGCAGCATCTGGCCTTGGTGTGTCTCTTATATCTTGGTAAGTGGCACGAGGTTTGGCACTTGAAGTAGCCAGCCTTGGCCTCTCCTGGGTACCTCCAAGTCCAGCACAGGTAGCAGCCATCTGAAATAGCTTTGTAATTCATGCTTGGTGACCCAGGGTACTGCATAGGTGCATAGGTGATGGCTGACCTTGGCCTGTACCTCCTTGGAGGCTCCAAAGCCAAAAACCAGATAGATAGCTTCAGAGTAAGCCAGAGTACCACCAAACCACTTTCATGGGTGGCACACTCAAGGGACAGGCTTGTGGGGCACCAGTAACCTTATATGATTCCTGCTCCATGGGGTCTGTGCCTGTACAGAAGAGGCTCTGCTGTGTTTTTGGCCAGTCTTTGAAATTGATGGCATGTAGGTAAATTTCTCTTGTGTCAACAGCATATCAAGGTTCAGCTGCAACAGGAGAGTGCACACAGCCTACATGGAGCTCAGCTTGGGTGACTAAGGCTGCATCCATGGGCCGTACAGGACATCTACCATGTAAGGCCACTCTACCAAGACAGGGGGACATAGTAGCTCTACCTAATACATAGAAACACACAGGCAGGCAGCCAAAAAGGGAAGACAAATATGTTTCAAGAGGAACAACAGAACACAACTCTAGAAAAAGAAATAAACAAAATGGAGACAATCTATTAGATGTAGAGTTCAAAACACTGGCTATAAGTGCTCTCCCTTTTGGGAGCTTGTCCACACTTTTTACATCCCTCTCTTCCCTCCAGGTGCTTTGTCTCTGCTTCTCCCTCTCCTAAGCTTCATGGGCCCTTCTTTTGCTTTTATAATTTGTTTCCTGAGCCTGTAGAGCCTGGCTACCTCACTTCTACTACCTCTATAATGTTTTAAATAAACTTTCAAAAAAGAAAAACATTCATTATAAAGATGCTTAGAACTTAGGGGAAGAGTAGATGTTTTAGTGAGAACTTCAACAGAGGTAGGAAACATAATGAGATAGAAAAAAAAAGTCAGAAGTGAAGACTATGATAACTGTAATGAAGGATACAGGTAATTAACAATAGAGTAGATGAAGAGTCAAATCAGTGATTTAGAAGATAACAGAATCAGGTCAGTGATTTGGAAGATAAGGAAGCAGAGACACCCAATCAGATCAGCAGAAAGAAGAAAAGGATAATTTAAGGGACCTCTGGGACAACATCAAATGTACCAACTTTTGCACCAAGAGGGTACAAGAAAGAGCAAGGAATTGAAATCCTATTCATGAAAGTAATGACAAGAGAACTTTAACCTGGTGTACAATCCAGGAAATGCAAAGAAAAGATGAATCCAAAGAGGCCCTCACTGAAACAACATAATTAAAATGCCAAAGGTTAAAAACAGAGACTTTTAAAAACAGCTACAGAAAAGCTATTAGTTACGTACAAGGGAGCTCCCATAAGACTCGCAGCTGATTTCTTAACAGAGATTTTACAGGCCAAACAGCATTGGCACAAAAATATTCAAAGTGATGAAAACCAAGGGTCTACAACTGAGATTACCCAGCATTCAGAATTGAAGGACAGATAAAGAGATTCCCACCAAGAAAAAGCCAAAGGAGTTCATCACCACCAAACCAGTGTGTTAAAGGGTCTTCAAGGTCAACAACAGTAATAAAATGGCGATAAATACGTATCTATCAACAATCACTTTAAATGCAAAAGGATTAAATGCCCCAATCAAAGACATGTGGCTGAATGAAAAACAAAACAAGGACCTTACATATGCAGTGTACAAGAGGCTTGCTTCAGATTCAAAGACACAGACTAAAAGTAAAGGGGTGTAAAAAAAAAAGTCATGAAAATGGAAATGTATTTTTTAAAAAGGCTGGAGTAACAGTAGTTATATCAGACAAAATAGACTTTAAATTAAGGCTATAATAAGGCAATAAAGGACCCAGCAATTCTATTTCTAGCCCTACACTATAGTCAGACCTCAGTTCTTGAATGTTTCCCAACTCAAACAGTTTGGTTCTTGACCAAGTTCTTGCAAAAAATGCCTAAATTGTAAAACAAAACTGGTTTTTGACCTGACAGCACTTGCATGCTGATGATACCTGTATTATTAATCACACACCTATTAGACACAATTTGGTTTTTGAATAAATCACTTCTCAAACAGCCTTCCAGAATGAATTAAGTTTGAAAATCGAGGTTCCACTGTATATCAAAAAGAATATGCATCGCCCTGGCTGGTGTAGCTCAGTGGATTGAGTATGGGCCTGTGAAGCAAAGGGTCACCGGTTCAGTTCCCAGTCAGGGCACATGCCTGGGTTGCGGGCCAGGTCCCCAGTAGGGGACACGAGGGGCAACCACACATTGTTTAAAAAAAAAAGAATATGCATCCATATGTTCATTGTATCATTATTTACAATAGGCACAGTATGAAACCAACCTAAGTGTCCATCAATAGATGGTGGTAAGAAGAGATGCATATGAAGTCTGTCCAGAAGATATCTAGCCATATAATGTGAAAGAGACATTTATTGAACAAGATACAAGAAACATTGCAACTATGTGATACATGCTTTCATCCCCTTAAAGTAGGCACCTCGGGACATCACACAGTTCTCCCAATTGTCAGCTGCCAACCTCATCAGTGGTCTGAAATCTCTTCCCCTTCAAAGGTGATTTTAGTTTTGGGAAAAGACAAGTCACAAGGTGCCAAATCAGGGCTGTAGTGGAGCTGAGTCACCTATGTGTTTGGATGTTTCACCAAAAAACTGCACAAAATGTGATGTATGAGTGGGCGTGTTGTGATGAAGCTGCCAATGCCAGTTGCCCGTAACTGCGGCCTTCTGAATCAGCTGGATAGTGTCCATGGAGGAATGTTCAAGCTTAATGCAAAATTTTATGTGGATTTGTTGCTCTGCCTGCTCAGTCATTTTGAATAAGATGGCCACACAGTATACCTGCTCACTCAATGGCATCTGACTAGTACAGTGAATTTGTCATTGTTCAGGCATATGCATTCCAGTCCCCTCTCTTTGGCTGTCAGGTTACATTGATGTCACAAAAACTATTCTTGTTATATTAACAATGGCTAGGCTTTTTCTGGACAGACCTCATGTATGTAGTGGAATATGACTCAGCCATTAAAAAAGCAAAATGACATCTTACTCCCTAAAACAATGTGTATGGACTTAGAGAGTATTGTTCTGAGTGAAATTAGGTCAGAGAAAGACAAATGCCATATGATTTTACTTATATGTGGAATCTAAAAACTACATAAGCTGATCAGAAGCACACATAGATACAGAGAATATTTTGATGGTTGCCAGATGGGAGGGAGTTTGGGGGGGATGGGTGAAAAAGGGGAAAGGATTAAGAAGTACAAATTGGTAGTTACAAAATAGTCATGGGGGTTTAAAGTACAGCATGGGGAATATAATCAATACTGAGATAACTATGGTGTCAGGGAATATAGTCAGTAGTACTGTGATAACTATGTATGGTTTCAGATGCATTTAATTGGGGCGACCACTGCATAGGTATATAAATGTCTAATTGCTGCGTTGTACACCTGAAACTAATACAATGTCAACTGCAATTAAAAATATTTAGAAGAATATCAGACTGGAAAGGCCTTGAAGATCTTGTAGTTCACTTCATTTTGTGGTGGAAGAAATTGTGACCCAGATTGCTTGAGTTTCATGTAAGGGTGAAAAGATTAATTGCAGAGCCAAGACTAGATTCCTAATCCAATGTTTTTTATTTCATGAAATAATTTCTCTGTGAGGCAGCAGTGATTGGGTTAAATTTCAGATGGAGGTTTTCTGCTGCTTAGGTACCAGGGGAAGAAAAGTCTGCAGAAACAAAAATGGTTGATTTTTATAATCAAGGCATCTGTCTTTTCTCATATTTACTTTTTGAAATAAATTAGATTATTTGCAAATGAAATCTTAAATGATGGATGGTTATGAGATGTAAAACTTACTTGGCATACAGTTTTGTTTTTTCTTGGAACTTCTCTGTTCTGACATTTCCATGTCTCTATTTATAGCAGTGATCTGTTTGGAATTTGCCTTCTGATTCTGTTTATTCATGTTGCTTCATATTAGTGGATATTCTCATTTCATTTTTTTAAATGTGTCTGAAAGAACTTGAGAAGGAAAAGGAGTGAAAAGTTTTAGAAATAGCACTTGAAATTATTATTTTCCTATGAATTATTATAATGATTGTTTATAACTGGTTATCCAGTTGTGGTACTTAATGATACCAATACTAATTTATCAAGATAGAATGGTGGTTTATTTTCTAAATTAAAAATATGAAATCTAAGATAAATTTTTTTTATCCAGGACAGTTACTACTTTTACATTAACAACCTTGCTCCTTAACTACATACAGGGTGGGGGAAAAAGTAGGTTTATAGTTGTTTATGTGGAAAATAATACAATAATTTATAAATAATGATGAAGATAAACTGTTTAACCTACTCACAACTGTAAACCTACTTTTGCCCCACCCTGTACTTTGATATAAGTGAAGATAGACAGATTTTAGTTAAGAGTTTTTAAATGCTAAAATCCTTAAGGTCAGGGACTATTTACCTTTGAGATTAACTTAATATCTGGCATCCAGTAGATGCTTATTAATCTATTCAATTCAGTAATAATGTTGGGCATTGTTCTAGGTGCTGGATCTACAGCAGTGAACAAAACAGATGTTATCCTTACCCTCATGGAGCTTATTCTAGTGAGTGAATGTTGAATAAAACCATGAATCACTTTGCAAAAACTCCGTAATTGTTTTCACATAGTTACTTGCATTAGCCTAAAAAAGAATAATTTGTAGTTTATTAAGCAATATGAAGAGTTGTAATAGGAGAAGCTTAGTAATTAGATCATTCACTTATTAATCATTTATTTCCTAGTGTAAGTATGTAAAATTATTTGAAATTACATAAATATTGTGTTCCCAATTTTCATTCAATTCTTTCTTCTGTTTGTAACCTTGAGTAAAGGCCTCAATTGCTAGCCAGGCCACCAACAGAGATCTGTATCTGAAATCAGATATCTCTGAATGTCTCTTGACTGTGCTGGCTCTAAACTTCATACCCATCAAAGATCTAATTGTAACTTGTTTATTGTCTGTTCTTCACACCAGAGTGTGGGCTCACAGGGCACCTGTCTCTTTTAGTCACCACTGTATACCAAGTATATAAAATAACGTGCCACATGGTAGATATTAGTAAATATTAATCAGCCCTTGACCAATCAAAATGCAATGTCCTCCCTACCAATGGCTACAGCCTACATCTAGTCTTCACTCATACTACTCAAATTATAAAAATCTTCAACTCCAGTATTCTCTCAAGAAGATGTATTATCACTTTAGCTTGTTTACTAATATACTCCATCTGTTCTTTTAGTCTTTTGACATCTCCCTTTTCTTTCTATTTCTGTTACTTCCTGGCCTTACTTTGCTGGTCACTTCAAGAATTCTTGGACTTCCGGTCAACATGATGGCATATGCAGACATGGCTGACCTCTTCCCACAACCACATCAAAATTACAACTAAAATACAGGACAACGAACATATAGAATCATCAGAAATTGAGTTGAACAGAAGTCTGACAACTACAGAACTAAAGAAACCACATTGATCAAGACTGGTAGGAAAGGCAGAGACACAGAAGGAGCTGACATCCTTACCTACTTGTGGAAAAAAAATTGGAAGCAATATCTTGGGAGTGAGGAGTCCCAGCCCCATACAAGGCTCCACAGCCCAGGGTTCCAGTGCCAGGAAGAAGGTCCCCACAAATTCTGCCTCCAAAACCAGTAGGCATTGAATAAGTGGAAGAAAGTGCTGGCACCCCAAGCAGTTCCTCTTAAAGAACCCACACAGATTCACACCCTATGAGCTCCAGCAGCAGGGTATCAGCTTAAAAGGCACCAGTGGCATAAAGGGAGGGATTGAAGCATCTGGCATCAAGACGAGCAGAAGCCATTGTCCTTTTTCTGAACCTTCCTCCTGCAGAAACAGCAAGCTGGTGCCATATCTGAGACTCCATCAACCTGGCTAACATTGACCCTCCAAGGAGTTCCCCAGATACTCTGCCCCACCCAACTTATGGTCCCACCCAAGCTGGTTTTCCATATGAATGGATGGTCTTGTCTTATGGTGTACAACTCCCTAGATTCTTCTTAAACAAGCAGTAGTGGGCCTCAGTAATTCCCTGGTTTTGCACTAACAGGAGCCTGCCTAGAGTCATAGCTTGACTTCACCTGGGAATCTCTAAGCCCGGCACAAGTAGCAGTCATCTGATTGCTCAGGCAGGGTAGCCCTGGGCAAAACACAGATGAGGTTTGACCTCAGCTTGTACCACCCAGGAAACGCCAGGAGAAGCACACCCAGTGCAGAGCTACAGAACACGTCAGAATACCACCACCCTGCCTCTGCACAGCTGGTCCTTCATGAATGGTGAAGGTTGGTGGTAAGTGGTCACAGCCAATCCTTGCACCTCAGTGGCCTGGGAAAAAATCTCTGCCATTCATCTGCCAACAGTAACCAAGGTTCAACTACAAGAGGAGAGTGTACTCAGTCCATGCAAAGGGTGCATCTTGAGTACCCAGGTTGGGTGATAGAGGAGGCTGTGCCACTGGACTCTACAGGACACCTGCTACAGTATAGCACACTACCAGGACACAGAGTCAAAGCAGCTCTACCTAATACATAGAAACAAAGGGAGGCTGCCAAAATGAGGTGACAAAGAAACATGGCCCAAATGAAAGAACAGATCAAAACTCCAGAAAAAGCTAAATGAAATGGAGATAAGTGATCCAATAGATGCAGAGTTCAAAACACTGGTTACAAGGGTGCTTAAGGAACTTAGTGAGGAACTCAACAACATAATGAAGATCCAGTCAAAGACAAAGGATATGCTAATTAAAATTTTAAAATTTACATGGGAATAACAGGATGGGTGAAGCTGAGAACCAAATCAATGATTTGGAGCATGCAGAAGCAAAAAACACCCAATCATACAAGAAGAAAGAAGAATCCGCCCCCCCCCCCCAAATGACCATAGTATAGCCTCTGGGACAAGGACAACTTCAAGAGGTCCAACATTCACATCATAGTACTGCTGGAAGAAGAAGAGAAAGAGCAAGAAATTGGAAAGATAATGAAAGAACGTCCTTAATTTGCTGAAGGAAATAGACACGGAGGTGTCCAGGGAGTAGAGAGAGTCCCAAACAAGATGGATGCAAAGAGGCCCACTCCAACTCATTATAATTAGAATGCAAAACATTATGGATAAAGATAGAATCTTAAAAGCAAGAGAGAAGCAGTTAGTTTCAGACAGGGGAGTTCCCCTAAGACTGTTAGCTGATTTCTCAAAAGAAACTTTGCAGGCTAGAAGGGATTGGCAACAAATATTTAAAGTCATGAAAAGCAGGGAACTACATCCAAGATTGCTTTACCTAGTGAAGCTATCATTTAGAATCAAAGAACAGATAAAAAGCTTTCCAGACAAGAGAAATCCAAAGGTGTTCATCACCAAACCATTATCACATGAAATATTAAAGGGACTTATTTAAGAAAAAGAAGATGATCAAAACTATGGACAATAAAGTGGCAGAATACATACCTATCAGTTGAATCAGAAAACAAACTAGGCAACTATAGAAGAATGGAGACAGAATCATGAATACAGAGAGTATTCTGAATGTTGTCAGATGGGAGGGGATTGTGGGGAAATGAATGAAGAAGTGAGGGGATTAATAAGTACAAATAGGTAGTTACAGAATAGCCATGATGATGTACAGTATAGGAAATGAATTAGCCAAAGAACTTATACACATGACCCATGGACATGAACAATGGTTGGGGGATTGCCTGAGGGAATGGAGGATGCTGGATGTAAGGGGGCAAAGGGGGAAAAATGAGGACAAGTTTAGTAACAATAAAATATAATTCAAAAGTAATTCTCAGCTCCTGCCCTGACTGGTGGTGGCTCAGTTCAGCATCATCTCACAGAGCAAAAGGTCACTGGTTCAATTCCTGGTCAGGACACATGACTAAGTTGTGGATTTCATCCCTAGTTGGGGTGCACACAGCAGCCAACTGATTGATATTTCTCACATTGATGTTCTCTCCCTTCCCCCCTCTCTAAAAACAAATAATTTTAAAAAATAAAAAGAAAATTCTGAGCTCTCATTCTCCTTTGTCTTTTAGTTGTGGTCACTCTTTAAATCCACTACTATTAATCAATTAAAATACTCTGGTGTTAGATGAGCTTCAATTCACCATTGGCTATGTAAGTGCAAGTTATTTAGCTTCACCAAGTTTAACTTTTTTAGTATGTTTGTTCTTTGGTACCCTAAGCATTGTAATGAAAATTAAACAGTGTTATTGTAACCAGATACAACTGCCTGTACATAATGAAAATCCTTATTAAATAACAACCAGAAAATCCAGATACAGCATGCCTCTAGGAATGCTTGATTTAGCAGCTCAACAATATATGACGTATAGTGTTTTTTATCCTCAGTCTATGGTTTAGTGTCCCTAATGATTGCATAATGGTTGCCACAGTTCCCAGTATTATGCAATCATGATTGTAAGTGGCAAAAGAAAGTTTCTTCTCTTTCTTCTACCTCTTCCCCTGGATACCACTTGGACTCAGAGCTGAATCACACAGGCTTACTCTAGCAAGTATCATACTTGGTTTTGAATAATTAAGATTCATCTGGGGCTAAAAGGAGAGGCCCCACCTTACATTTGTGACCCTTAAAATTCTGTCTTTAGACCTTTTTTAAAAAATAAAGATTTTATTTATCTTTTGAGAGAGGGGAAGGGAAGGAGAAAGGGAGAGAAACACCAATGTGTGGATGCTTCTTGTGTGCCCTGCACTGGGGACCTGGCCTGTAACTCGGGCATGTTGCCTGACTGAGAATTGAACTGGTGAGCCTTTGGTTCATAGGCTGGAACTCAATCCACTGAGTCACACCAGTCAGGGCCTTTTTAAAAAAATATAAATCTACATTCACTCTAGTATAACCTTTAGACTTACGGTTTTAAGGATCATCTCTGCTTCCAATTTTTTCAATCTTTCCTCTGCTTCTCTGAATACCATACTCATATGTCCAGTTGCCTACTAGACATTACCATTTCTAGGTTTAATAGGCATTTTAAAGTTGATAGATTAATATATTTTTTTAAAGATTTGATTTATTTTTAGGGAGATCGGGAGGGAGACAAACATTGATGTAAGAGAGACATCAATTGGTTGCCTCTCATACATGCCCCGACTAGGGCCCGTATGACGCACAACCCAGGAATGTGCCCCTGACCAGGAATTAAACTGGTGATCTTTCATTTTGCAGAACTATTCTCAACCAACTGAGCTACACTAGTCACGGCAATATGTCCAATGTTAAACTCAATTTCCCCCTCTAACTCTTCTACCGTCCTATTGTAGTAAATAGCAATTTTGTTCTTTCACTTTACTGAAGCTGAAAAACAACCTTAGAGTCATTGATTTTTCTCATATTCCACATATGATTCATCAGGAAATCCTATTGACTTTACCTTTAAAATAAATAAAAGAGCACCTTCACTGCTACATCATCATGTAAACCAGTACATTCTTAGTAGTCTTTATCATTCTTCCCCACTCTATTCTGTTTTTTTTTTTTAAAGATTTTATTTATCTTTAGAGGGGAAGGGAAGGAGAGAGGGAGAGAAATATCAATGTATGGTTGCCTCTCATGCGTCCCCTGCTGGGAACTGGCCTGCAACCCAGGCATGTGCCCTGACTGGGAATCGAACCATGATCCTTTGGTTCACAGGCCCACACTCAGTCCACTGAGCTACACCAGCCAGGGCCCCACTCTACTGTTAATTCAGAAGCCAAAGCTATTTGACATTGCATAAAATTCCAGTGGCTTCTCTTCTGTCATATATGTCAATCTTTATTAGTTACAAGGTTCTACACTATTTAGCTGCCTATTATTTCTCAGACTACCTCCTAACCCCTTTGCCTCCCCTACTACATCATTATGACACAGCAGCAACTCAAAGATGCCTAGCATTTAAAAAATTTCCCTTTACCTGGTACCTTCTACCCCAATACACACACATATATATAGCTTTCCCTCTTTTCTCTTTCAGATAGTACAAATGTCATTTCTCAACTTTTCATTCCTGGTTACCCCATTAATTCCTTAATTCCCTTTCCCACTTTATTTTTCTTCCATCACCATCTAATATTCTATATAGTATTAATATTTAAAAGTGTTTTTAATTATTTCAAAAAATTAAAAATTTATGTCCCCAATTAGAATGTAAAGTACATGAGGCATGGATTTTTGTTCATACTGTATCCTCAGTACCTAAAAAGGTGTCTTGGCATATGGAAGGTCTTTAATAAAATATGAAGAAATGAATAAAGTGAATGTCAATTCAGCACGGTTTCTAATTTCTAGCTGGGTCCTCAGTGAAACTTAGAAATTCCTGTTTCTGATTATTTTTCTTCCTATTTTTCATAATTGCTGTGCCAAACTATCACCACTCTTACCAAATCCCTACTTTTATGCTTATCTCTTTAGTAGTTGATGCCCTTTTAAAAAGACTTTTGATAGCACTTCTGAACTTTTTAGTCTTCATAGTTCTCTTTCCTTCAGATTTAGAAGTTTATTCTTTTTTTACTTATCTCACTTCTAATTTTGTTCTAATTTCATCTACTGGTACTCTTGGTACCAAACCTTCCTGTCTTCTGAGACCTTAAGTAGTTATTTCTTCCCTTATATATTCTATGTATTTTTATATATCTCATTTTTCTCTGTATTGTTTTCTTCCTCTCTTGACCGCCTTAACCCCCCTTAATCCTTCCCTTATTACAACTCTCTTTTTTTTTTTTCAAGAAAGAATTCACTAGTGAAGACTCAAATACAAGCATATGTTTATTTAGAAAGTCACAGTTACCAGAAGTGAGCTGTGGAAGAAGTGAGCCTCCTGGGCTGCATGAGCTCAGGGAACAAGTTACAGAGGCAAAAGAAGGACGCTTAGAACTTAAGAAAAAGAAAAGCAAAGAGAACACACTTGGGAGTAGGAGAGAGGGAAAGGTGTGAGTGTGTTCCAGAGATAGTGCACTGGGGAAAGAATGGGGTGGGAAAAGGTATAGGCTTTCTCTGGAGAGAGAACAAGTATGCCACAACTCTGCTTCAGGTGACTATTTTGAGATGTTTAAATTTATTCCATTGTCATTTCCCTTATCATTCAATTCACTGGCTTCTGGCTGTTGCTTTCATTGCCAACAATCTCCTCTACCTCCTAGGATTGTTGTGAGAGATTATATAAGGTTGTATGTGTTAAGAATTTAGAATAATGCTTGCACATAGTTTTTTGAGTGATTACCATATATACTGTAACTACTGAAACCAAAATTATTCTTACCTGTGAGTACTTTTCTATCATTCTTCTTGACTTCCCTGTGTCTTTCATGAAACGCTGTCCTTTGGGTTTGGGGATACCAGTGGTATCAAGATGCTTCCAGCTTCAAGTTAAGAGAATATTTTTAACAATAAATCCAGTGATAGGTGGCCCCAAGATTGATTCAGAGATGCAGCAACACTATTAAGGACCTAGGCTCTTGTGTTTGTATGCTAACATTCTTGCTCTTTCACAGATGTTTATCTTCAGGGTTGTGAGATAGCAAGCATCCTATTTTCATTATCCAAAAGCAGAAAAGCAGTGCTGGGCTTTCTCCTGGATAGGTATCTCTTTATAGGAAGGACAACCTTCCCAGAGTTCCCCAGAGAATTTCCCTTTTCATTGGACGCCCCTACACCAATCACTGGCAAAAGGCATGTAATTATTATGATTGACTGAAATTAACCATGAGTCATTCCCCAGGAACTGAGGGAAACTTATACTTTCCTTTAGTTCATTATTCTAAAAGAAATGACTAGATATCCATGGGCCAAAAAGAATGAAGGAAAGACTGTTTGGTTCATCATGATCAGTAGTGTCTATCATTCTGTTCTTACCTGGTAGATCTTTAATTGTTCCTTCTCATTCTTTTTTATTGTCTTTTATTGGTTTATGTGCCCCTTAAATGCTTATAGTCTCAAAGTTCATCTTTGATTCTTTCAAAAATTATCCTTTTTTTACACTTTCAAATGCCACTTGTGTTACTGACTTTTCTCAGCTAAGATTTTTCCCCTAAGTCTCAGTTCAGAATATCCAACTCTTTTCTAAACAATGTCATCCATTCAATTCAATTGAATAATGTTGTACTAGGTTTTTGGGAGTCATACATTAAATAAACATTGCCTGTATGGTCTTACATTACAGTAGGGGAATTAGAGAAACAAGTGATTACAACATAGGTAGTAATTAGGAATATAGTTCAAGCAATTATTTTTTCCAAATATAGAAGTAGTATAGATGAATGGGTGGTTAATAGGTTTTTTAGGTGTGTTCTAAATGGAACTTGCCTTTCTCTTCAAATGCACTCTTCCTATATTCTCTATCATTAGTAGCGCAACTGTGCACACCTTTTTCAATATAGAAATCAAAGCAATCTAAAATGTTTAAAATCTCCATATACAGTTGGTTGGCAAATTGTACATATGCTACCAATTTATTACTTAAATTTAGCCATTTATCTTTTTATATCATAGTAATCTTACTTTAGGTCCTTGTAATTACTCATGTCATTGAATTATTCACTATTTAAAAGCTAATTTAACAGACTTCTGGCCAAGATGGAGGTGTAGGTAGATATACTTTACCTCCTCACACAACCAAAAGAAGAACAATAAATTAAAAAATAAAAAACAACCAGAACTAACAGAAAATCGAACTGTATAGAAGTTGGACAACCAAGGAGCTAAAGAAGAAACATTCATCCAGACCAGTAGGAGGTTCGGAGATGAGCAGCTGGGGCAGAGAGGATTCATGGCCAGGAGGACCAAGGCAGGCAAGGTGGTGGCTGGTGGACTGGGTCCTACATTTGTGCGTGGATAAACTGGGAGGAACAACTGGGGAGTGAGACAGACCATGCAACTCAGGGTTCCAGCTCAGGGAAATAAAGCCTCAAAACCTCTGACTGAAAAATCCTTTGGGGGTTGTGGTGACAGGAGGAATCCCCAGAGTCATGGGAGAGTTTGTTGGAGAGACCCACAGTGTCCTAGAATGTACACAAAACCACCCACCCAGGAATCAGTACCAGAAGGGCCCAATTTGCTTGTGGGTAGCATAGGAAGTGACTGAAAGCCGGCTGAGAGCTGAGCAATCAGTAATGTTCCCTCTCAGACCCCTCCCCCCATACAGCACCACATCACTGTTGCCCCACCCTGGCGAGTACATAAAGTTCTACCTCTTACTACATAACAGGTGAGCCAAGACAAAAAAATACCACAGATCAAAGCTCCAGAAAAAATACAACCAAGCGATGGATAGCCAACCTATTAGATCAAGGGTGTCAAAGTCATTTTCACCAGAGGCCGCATCAGCCTTGCAGTTGCCTTCAAAGGGCTGTAATTTTAGGACTGTATAAATGTAACTGCTCCTTAACAGTTAAGCAAGAGCTTGGCACTGCCACCAGGTATAAACAAGGTGCTGGGCCAGATAAAACAAGGTGGAGGGCCAAATTTGGCACACAGGCCTTGTGTTTGCCACTTGTGTATTAGATGCACAGTTCAAAATACTAATAATTAGGATGCTCACAGAAATGGTTGAATACAGTCACAAAATAAAAGAAGTGAAGGCTATACAAAGTGAAATAAAAATATATAGGGAACCAACACTGAAGGGAAGGAAACTGGGACTCAAATCAATAATTTGGAACAAAACGAAGAAATAAACATTTGACTAGAACAGAATGAAGAAACAAGAATTCAAAAAAAAAAAAAAAGCGTAGAAACCTCTGGGACAACTTTAAACTTTCCAACATCTGAATCATAGGGGGGTGCCAGAAGGAGAAGAGGAAGAACAAGAAATTGAAAACTTACTTGAAAATATAGTGAAGGAGAACTTCCCTAATTTGGCAAAAGGAATAGACTTCCAAGGAGTCCAGGGAGCTGAGTCCCAAAGAAGTTGGGCCCAAGGAAGCACACATCAAGGCACATCATAATTAATATTATCCAAGATTAAAGATAAGGTGAGAATCTTGAAAGCATCAAGAGAAAAGGAGACAGTTACCTACAAAGGAGTTCTCATAAAACTATCAGCTGATTGCAGGCAAGAAGGAACGGGAAAGAAGTATTCCAAGTCATGAAATGCAAAGACCTACATTCAAGACTACTCTTTCCAGCAAAGCTATCATTTAGGATGGAAGGCCATGTAAATTGCTTCCCAGACAAGGTCAAGTTAAAGGAGTTCTTCATTACCAAGCCCTTATTATATAAAATGTTAAAGGGACTCATGTGAGAAAAAGAAGATCAAAACTATGAATGGTAAAATGACAACAAATTCACAACTATCAACAACTGAACCTAAAAAAAAACTAAGCAAACAACTAGAACAGAAACAGAATCACAGAAATGGAGATAACATGGAGGGTTATCAGCAGGGAGTGGGGAAGGGGGGAAATGGGGGAAAAGGTTCAGGGAATAAGAAGCATAATTAACAGGTACAAAATAGACAGGGGGAGGTTAAGAATAGTATAGAAAATGGAGAAGCCAAAGAACATATGTCTGACCCATGGACATGAACAAAACGGGGGAATTGCTGGAGGGAATGGGGGTACTGGGCAGATGCGCACAAAGAGAAGGAAAAAAATGGGACAACTTTTGTAGCATAATCAATAAAATATACTGGCCAGGGTAATTTCACATTTTTTTGTGCTTTTTATTAAAATGTGGATTCTGGAAATGTTTATATATGTGGCTTTCATTTGTAGCTTGCTTGTGTTTTTGTTGGACAGTGCTGCTCTACATTATGTGATCTTTCAACATACTCAAAGTGTATAATCAAATATTAACATATAAGAACCATTTTAAATGACCTAGCAATTTTTTAGATTCTTTTGGCTTTCTTATTCAATATGGAAAAGTACTATAGATACCACTTTATTTTAGTTGATCCCCAAATGCTAAGAAAGTATGAGATTAGCTTACTGCACGTTCACTAGTCTGCTAGTAAGCTTTTCAGTGACTTGTAAAATAGGGTAAGAAAGAAGGGCAAGTTGTTTGGTGATATTTTATTAGGATATATTTTATTTATTTATTTGTAAAGATTTTATTTATTTATATTTAGAGAGAGAGGAAGAGGGGGAGAAAAACAAGGAGAGAAACACTGATAGACCGCCACTTGCACTTACCCCAAGCAGAGATCTGGCCCACATCTCAGGCATGTGCCCTGACAGGGAATTGAACCAGCAAGCTTTCAGTCTGTAGGATGGCACAAATGAGGGCAGAATACATTTTCGTATCACAAAATAAAGCAATTCTATACTCCCAAAAAGGAAATGATTTTTTTGAAGACTAAAATATTACTGATACCTGGATATCTCCAGGTAACTCTAATAATTTTTATAAAACTTGTTAAAACAATTTTATTTTATCTTTTTTTATTTTGAGAGTATATTTATTAAAACTGGGACAATGAAACAAGAAAGGACTTAGGGTAGAAGAAGCAACAGGAGAGAGCCTAGGCAGGGTCCCTTCAGAGCCTTTCGCTCTCTAGAAATGTTATAGGAAAGAAGTAAATCTATGTGAGGCTACTTTGGCTCTCTAGAAAATCAGAGAAAAGGGGCCTTCGAGACAGGTTCAGGGGTTAGCGTGGGATGAGCTGCCAATGCCAGTTGCTCCCCTGGCTGCAGGTCTTGTGGGGAACCTTAGACTTCAGGAAATGCATGCCTGAGAGGAAAGAAAGGCATAGGCATGCTCCGGGGAGGGAGAGTGCTATTTTATCAGTTTTTAAAGGCTTGTACTTAAAAATTATTTTTATCCTCACCTGAGAAGATTTTTTTCATTGCATTTAGAGAGAGAGGAAGGGAGAGAGAAAGGGAGAGACAGAGAGACATTGACCTCCCACATGCACTGGGACTGGGGATCAGACACACAACCTAGGAATATGCCCTGCCTTATTCCTAGGTAATTGAACTTATGATCTTTCAATTAAGGGATGATGGTTGAACCAACCAAGCCACACCAACCAGGAGTAAAATTTTTTTTGAATTTTATTTTAAATATTTTTGTTAAGATTATTAAATAAAATTAAACATAAATTTTATAGCGCTATAAATTATTATGTGCTATAGTATTATAAAATCAAACAATGACAGTATCAAAACTTGAGTACTGGGAATTACTAATTTAACTGTAGTGATCAAGTACTGGAAAATCTAGATAAATACAATTAGTACAAGGACAATTATGCCTGATAAAGCCCTTCTTCCTATCAACTTTTTTAAGTTAGTTTGACATCTTTTACTGGTGCTTTTGGAAGCTTACAAATGTTAATAAAACTTTGTTAAGAATCTTTTACCTTACTGAGAAAACAAAAAAGCAATTTCACCAGCTTCAAGACAAATTGACATGTAAGTAAGGAATGGAGCTAGCTTTTAAAATTTGTTTCAAAGACCTAATGTACTAGCACTTTTTGAAGAACATGAAAAAGCAGCCATTAAGTTAAAAAAAAAAAAGACATTCAAAAATCGAACCATAACTTTTTCTTGTTAGCTTCCTAAGGAGAGTCTTCTAAATCCTGTGCTTTAATCTGACCAGTCTTTTGCTGTATCAAATACCCTTTAGGTTCTTTTGCTGGTGGACTTTGTGTTCTTCGTCCAAATTGCAGACCAAGGTTGCTTTCTCTCTTTCTAAATTCTATCTGTCTTTTAAGACCCTGCTCATATTTCTCTTTTCTGAAACCTTTCCTACCCCCATCACTCCAGCCCAATATTAGCATTTAATTAACATTTACATAATATTTTAATTTTTGTAATGCCATTTCACATATTTTCTTTCTTTATGTCATTCTAACAAGGTAGATGATATCCATTTTGTAGAAGGAGGGCATTGAAGCTGAGAGAAATATTTGATTTTTTCCAGAACTAGGTAGATACTAAATAGCAAAGCTAAGAATATTGGAACCAATTCCTCTTCCAACTTTCACACTCTTTCCTCCTTGATGACCCCTTAACTCCCATTATAGTTATATAACACCCAATTGGCTATTAATTAAATGTTTACTGTCTTAATATTAAACTTATTAGCTGTAGACTTGAAGGACTACGTACAGTACATAGGGAAAGGAAATAATGGGGGAGCTGAATACATTTCTTGATAAAGAGGTCATTAACAATCAGATCTTAACAGCTCACTTTTCTGAAAACATTCACCTTTTAAAAAGTATGATAGCGACACTCAATCCTTTTCCTCTGCCAAAATAATTACCTATCTTAGTGCCAAATGTTTAGTTAAATTTTTAACGCACAGCTGAACAGTCCTGTCTGGTGTGGCTCAGTTGGTTGGAGTATCATATGGTAATAGAAAGGTTGTGGGTTTGATTCCTAGTCAGGTCAAATACCTAGGCTGCAGGTTCATCTCTGGTCTCAGCATGGGCACCTGGGGCCCTGAAACCTGATGCTTATGATCCCTGGTCCGGACACATAGAGGAAGCAACCAGTCTATGCGTCTCTCGTTTCCTTTATCACTTCCCTTCAGTCTCTCTTTAAATAAAACAAAACAATTAAAAATGCCCTCAGGTGAGGATTAAAAAAAAAAAAGAGAGAGAGATCTAAATAGAGAAGACTTCCCTGACCATGTTGGCTAAAGTAGCTCCTCTCCATCAGTCTCTGTCTTAGCAACACTTAAAATTTTTCTTTAAAGGACTTTAAGCTATTTGAAATATCATTTCTTTATTGTTTATTTTCTGTCTTCTCCCACTAGCATATGAAATGATTGAGAGCAAGGATGTTGTCTATCTAGTTTATAGCACAAAGCAAACACTCAGTAAATATTTGCTGAATGATTAAAATACTATATTTATGAAAAGTGTTCACTGCGACATTTATCTTTTAAAACAAGTTTTTGTCATACCCATCAAATACTATAAAATGGGCATGTGTAAAATGCCGTTAGCCACCTAATTCCAAATACAAGTCCAAATTACTATAATTACTTAAAGAAGGACATCTATAGTTAAGAAAAAAATGATTTTTAGAAAAATTTAATTTTAATGATGTGGATTTAAGCTTATAAATACACTTCCCTTAAGTTTACTCTTCTATCTTATAACCTAGACAGTGTAAGAAATGAATTTCTTCAAAAATTTTTTAATGTATTTTCCCTAAAGTTGCATTTATAACCATGACAAAATTTTTGGGTATTATAACTTATACTCGAAGTCTGAAACCTTTTCACAGGAATGTAAGTTTGAGTTCCAAACTTACAATCAAGAAATTTCCTATGCTAATGATGCCTTTTAGTGCTTGAAGGCATTTTAAGAAAGTACAGTCATCCCCTGGGGGATTGGTTCCATGACACCCCTGGAAACTAAAATCCATGGATGCTCAAGTCTCTAACATAAAATGGCGAAGTATTTCCATTTAAACTATGCACATCCTCTGGTATACTTTAAATCATATCTAGATTACTCATAATACCTAATACAATGTAAACATTATGTAAATTGTTATACTGCATGTATTATTTGGGGAATGATGACAAGAAAAAAGTATGTACATGTTTACACCATTGTAAACCTAATTACATAGTACACATCAGCAACAACATAATTTTTTTTCTAAATATTTTTGATCTACAGTTGAATTACACATGTGGAACCCATGGATCTGGATGACTGACTAGAACATGTAGAGGTAAAATATAGTTTATTATTAAATGGCCAATAGTTTGATTATATTTAATTACTTAATTATCTAAAAAGTAGGCCAAATATTAGAACAGATACAGCCTAGTACTCCTTAAGTGTATGTTAATATTGTAAGAATATCATCGTTCACTAGTAGATTGCTAATTATAGGTAAGCTCTTTGAAGTATTTTTACTGAATTCAATATCAGATGTGTGTGCATATTTATAAATTACATGTGAGAAAACATATGGAAGTATTTGATAAACTATATTATACAAATATTATTATGGGGAAGACATAGAATAGTAATAGTTTAACACTATCTAAGAGTCTAAAATTCAGAGATAAAGATCTTAAAGGGAACATGTAGGGGGCATGATCTTAGAGGATGCCTGAGTTTTGGGGAGCTGATTCTTTTTTTTTTCCTTTTTTTAAAATCTTTTTTTATTGATTATGCCATTACATTGTTCTATTTCCCCTCCTTCGTTCCCCTCCACCCTGCACACCCCTTCCCCACCATTCTCCCCCCTTTAGTTCATGACCACGTGTCTCAAGTTCTTTAGATTCTATATTTCCCTGAGTATTCTTACCCTCCCCTCTATTTTCTATCTACCATCTATGCTACTTATTTTCTGTACCTTCTCCCCTCTTCTCCTTCTCCCACTCCCCTGTTGCTAACCCTCCATGTGATCTTCATTTCTATGTTTCCACTCCTGATCTAGCTGTCCTCTTAGTTTGCTTTTGTTTTAGGTGTGGTTGTTGATAACTGAGTTTGCTGTCCTTTCACTGTTCATCTTTTTTATCTTCTTTTTCTTAGGTAAGTCCCTTTAACATTTCATATAGTAAGGGCTTGGTGATGATGAACTCCTTGAATTTGATCTTATCTGAGAAGCACTTTATCTGTCCTTCTATTCTAAATGAAAACTTTGCTGGATAGAGCAATCTTGGTTGTAGGTCTTTGGTTTTCATGACTTGGAATACCTCTTTGCAGCCCCTTCTTGCCTGTAATGTCTCTTTTGAGAAATCTGCTGACAGTCTGATGGGTACTCCTTTGTAGGTGACTGTCCCCTTATCTATTGCTGCTTCTAGAATTCTCTCCTTCATTTTAATCTTGGCTAATGTAATGATGATGTGCCTTGGTGTGTTCCTTCTTGGGTCCAACTTCTTTGGGAATCTCTGAGCTTCCTGGATTTTCTGGAAGTCTATTTCCTTTGCCAGATTGGGGAAATTCTCCTTTATTATTTGTTCAAATAAGTGTTCTACTTGTGGGTGTTCCTCTTCCCCTTCTGGTACCCCTATAATTCGGATGTTGGAACGTTTAAAGATGTCCTGAACGTTCCTAAGCCTCTCCTCATTTTTTTGAATTCTTGTTTCTTCATCCTTTTCTGTTTGGTAATTTTTTTCCTCTTTCTGGTCCACTCCTTTGATTTGAGTCCCAGTTTCCTTTCCATTACTATTGGTTTCCTGTGCATTTCCATTCATTTCAATTAGTTTAGCCTTCATATATTCCTCTAATTTGTTACTATAATCAACCAGTTCTGTAAGCATCCTGATCACCAGTGTTTTTGAAC